ATTGAATCTCTATTCGTTCAGGAGAACTCTGCAATTAGATATTGAGGTTAACTTATGCTAAAAATAATAGCAATCTGTGAGATTAATATATGCTAAAAATTATATCCTCAAAATAATAATCCAGACCTACCTACACACACAATGCATAAAGATGCACCCCAGTATCTAATCACTATATCATGATCCTTTAAGAGCGAATCTTCAAGTCACACAGGATTCACACTCACAATAAACCTTTAGTATCAGGGTATATATTTTTATGCGAAAAATGAATTTACCTACTTTTTTAATATATGGGTTGCGGGGCACAAAATGTTCAACCATACAGAAAATATCAAAAATAAATCAAATTCCAGCTAATTTTCCTATTATGAAGTTTAGGAGATAATGCTAGTAGAAAAATACTTTATACTGGGGTAGCTCACAAAACTCTTCAATTTCATACACTTATTACCTGTGAAATATGTTCTGGAACAGTCATGGTCCAGACAATTGATTTTTCAATTGGATTTGATGTTATACGGTATGTTATCCCTCTTTCAGCAAACCTTGTAAGCAGATTTCCTATCATAAAAGTTTATATATCTCAGCTACCAGATATGATGTTATACGGAAAAAGAAAGTGAAGAATACGAAGAGCCTACCTCCAACTGACCCCAATTCCACTACTTTAAGGTCAATCTCAGCCACTATGGATTTCACAGCAAACTTTCCTTTTTCCCACTTTTGTTCTTCTTTCTGAATCTTTTTCATCTCTGCTGCTTCAGATTTCAGAGCTGCTCTCTGCAACTTCTCTTGCTGTTTTTCATTAATCTTGATTATTTCATTTTTCTGTTAACAAGAATTGGGTAAAGATTGTAGATAGCAACTTACTTGCTTCTTTAGATTCTTTTCTTCCATTAGGCGTATCCTTTCCTCTTTCGCCATCTTCCTTCTACCCATTGCTTCGTCTCTAATACTTTTTTCAGTAATAGCTTTAGTTTTTCTTCTCTGTTTCACAATGTTGCCCATCTGATCCATTCTATTTTCTTTGTCAGGATCAAGTACCTGATCTCAGCATGTCATATATTTTAGGATAAACACCCAATGGCATGTAAGGATAGCAGCAAATGAAAGATAGCACACCACACCTTCATTAAAAATGAGAACACAACGAAATATCAAAACTTTTTGATGTCTCATGAATAGTCTATACATATAATAACATTTAGTTTGAATAACACAGGGCCACAGAAACTAATGACAAACAACTAGAAACTGTCCAAAATGGCTTATTTCTTGATTATTATACATTCCAGTTCAACAAATAGAGGGGAAAAAAAAGATATTAGACAGAACAAGATGATTGTTATACTGCAAGACTGGTGCAACTACTAGACTGTCAATGTGAAGATGAAATCAGCAAAACAGCAACAGAAAACATTCAGAGGAGCTAAAACTTGTTAACTGAGGAAATTGTAGAAGTACAGATTACTTTTCTCCTCCTTAGTAAAAGCAAATGCAGAGGAGCTAAAACTTGTTCTCATTATGTTGTACATCTGTGGAGGAGATTACTTAAGGATGCTGAACTGAGCTGGGTTATTCCACCCGATTGCAGATCCATTCCATTTTAGAGTCATAAGTAGTTTGAGGGAGAAAAACAACGGTAATCTGAAACTGTTGGGTACTGGCATTTTTTTCCAGTGGTTTGGTTGGAAAGCAACAAAAGGAATTTTGAAATTAATAGAAAAGAGGATGAAGAGTTTCTTTGGGACAGAATAAGGTATTGGACTTCACTTTCACCATCGGTTTCTCCAAGTTTCAAAATTTAGCTCTCTGCATTGGAGGGCTTCACTTAATAATAGTCTTCATTAATGTCTTTCGTACTTTTGTTTGCTGGTTTTGTATTGTACGCAGTGGACAACTTGTCCACAACTCTATATTTTAACAAACCTACTAATAAATTTTATTTCTTATCCAAAGAAATATGATACTCATTTATTTTTATTTTTTTAAAGTACCCAAAAATCTATCCCAAAAAACAATATACTTTAGGTTGCTAGATTTTAATAAATTTTTAAATACACTCATAACTTTCATTTCAATCAACGCTTCTTTCACTAAATTTTCACCAGTCCCTTCTGAAATGTCTTCATCAATTAGTCTTGACATCCAAATCATAATGAATTTGAAACTTATTAAGGTTAGGAATCATGTATTGCCTACATTTAGAAAATATAATGCCCCATAGAAATTAACAGAACAAAACACACTTGTAACAAGAAGCATGTCTCTGAACAATCAAACATAATTAGTAAACATCATAGACCAGGGTATCAATTGTACCTGATTAATATCAAAATCATCTTGCAAAGAAACAGGTTGCACAGAACAGTCCTCAGACATATGTGCTAGACTGTCATGTCCTGATAAACATGTATGTGTCCATATTAAAAGGAAAAACATATTCCAGGGAGTAGAGTCATTTTGTTGAACATTTTGAAATCTAAGCTGATAAATAACCATAACCAAAGGTATGACAGATACACGAAAAACATACCAAGAGAAGATGTGGATTCGACAAATCTGGAACTCCAATCTAAGCCCTTCGCCACACCAAAACCACTAGAAATTGATTTGTTATCCTTCCCCCTTTCCCTTCCAGAACTACTTTCAGACTCATTATCAGATTCCAGAAATACCAAGCCATTAATGCCTGAATGTAAACAAAACACAGTATACATGTGAAAAAACTTCAACATTTGCAAACTAAAATAAAATTTTCAACAATATTTAAATCGCAGGGTGATTCTGTTCATACCCGAAAGTTTATTTCCAAATTATTTGCCATTTATAGTACGACATTCTATTAGAAAAATAAATAAATCATAAAAGGCTTCTTCTCAACACTCTTTAAATTAAAATTCAAAATTAACAAAAATTATACAAAAGAAAAGAGGCAATGCCGACCTGGCCAAAGAAGACCAGCTTCACTGGCTTGAGAAGGCCGACATGGTTCTAGTTCTAGCCTTCTCAAGCTAGTGAGGCTTACCTCCCTTGCTGCTTTTTTTTTTTTTTTCTAATTCGAATTCATTTTAGTTTTAAGTTTGTAACAATAGTGATGAATAGAAACTAATACAGAACAGTATGGAATGTGATAAATGTTTCTTTTGAGGTAATTCCCACTTTCTCTCGGCCTTTTGATGTATGGCTGCTGCATAATTTGAAAAGTAAGGTATTTTTGTACAAAATCTGCCTTGGAATTTAGTGTTTTTTGCTATATTACAGCATTTCTAGAAATGGCGTTGTAATCATATCGTTAATCCTAGTTATGAACCTCCAGTTATTATGGCTGAGATAATAGTTCAATTTGCCGAGGAGTGGCATGAGGTTAACTTGGTTATGAACTGTAAGCCTGCTAGAGAAACTGTGCAACTTAAATGGCATTCTCCTCAAGCCGGTAGGGTTAAAACTAACGTTGATGGCAGCTATAAAAGTGGTGAGGGCAAAACTACTGCAGGTGGTCTTTTAAGGGATTCTAATGGTGACTGGTTGGGTGGATTTAGTGTAAATATTGGTGCTGTATGGAGACAAAACTTTGGGGACTACCTTATGGATTACAACTTGCTTGGCAAAATGAACATTGATGTGGAAATGCCAAGATAGGGTTGTTGTTGTTTAGTAATGTTTTCATCTTTGTATAGGCTTCTGCCCCAATTTCACCCAAAAATAATTATAATCTTAACATAGGCTTCGGCCAGATCGGGATGTCGTTGTATGCGTAACAGTTATTATGATGGAAATAAAAAATTTAATAACAAAACAAAACAAAAATTTGAAATGAACTGAATCAATTAACGAACAAAAATAAAATAATATGATTAAACACCAACCATAACAATTAAGAAACAAAGCATAAACAAGAAGTTCACACAAAAACCAAAATGGCAAATAACTAAGCATTTTCCACAAAGCACACAAAAATCGAGTGTAAGCCCAGAAACCCTAGTTCAAACAAAATGCGTGAAATAATAACAGAAACCAATCAATCAACCAACCGGAGAACTTGCGCGGGGAATCTGAAACGCTAGCTTGGGAGGAAGGAGCTTTTGAGCATGGAGACTCGTCAAGGACCTCGAAGTAGCGGAGTGAGGTGGGACCCGGTGGCTTCCGTGTCGGTCTGGTGGGGTCGTCGTCGTCGTCAAGGACGAGAACCGGAGTCTGAGTATTGAGGTTTGGGTAGGGGTAGAGTTCGGTTCGGCGTTTCTTATTAGAGCAGTGGAATGGTTGGAATGGAGGAGGTGAGGAGAGGGCATTCTGGTCATTTTCTTCTTCTTCTTCGTCGGAGAGGACGATTGGCTGCTGAGGCTTCGACATTTGAGACTGCGAATGAAGAAGAGAATGAAGAGGGACTCGAGAGAGAAAGAGACGCGTTTAAAAAAAAATCAGCGGCAACCCTGTTTTTATTTTTTTATTTTTTTGGGTTGGAAAGATTTTTTATTTTTTCGCTTTTAATCACAATTAGTTGGTTTAATAAATTATCAGCTTTGGTCCTTTTTTTTCTTTTTTTTTGACATAATTGGTCCTTTACGTTACAAAGTAAGCATACATCAAATTGGTCCCTGTCATAATTCCATCAAAACTTCTATTAGATTATTGATGCGACATATATGTGAAATTCACACCTCAATTGATATAAAGCCACGAGTCTTTAAATAAAAATTAGAAATATTTGTAAATACTATCTGAACTCTTAGTTATGTGCGCAATTACTATTTGAACTTTCAATTTTTACTATTAACCACTTCAATTTTACAAAATGTAGCAATTTACTTTTTACATGTAATTCCATTAAAACTTCCGTTAAATAAAAAATCACACGTTGAATAGAATTCCCATGGTTTCAATTTATTTTCTTAAAACTCTGTCTAGGGGTAAAATCGAAATATTGGGTGAAAAGAATTATTCGGGGGTGGGATCAGCAAATTTAGGGGCGCAAATAGAATTCCCCAAATACTTGATCCAGTCTCTGGACTCAGGAGCCTCCCCGCACTTCTGAAAAGAAAGAGCAAGCCTCTCGACACTTGATCTTGCATTTTCGGTCCAACCCATTAGAGCCCTCTCTACTGTGCGCCCTCTATCTTCATCATTCATTTTCAGTCCCAGCTCCCTCCTTTCAATCTCTTGCTCGGTAAGTGTATGCTGTAATTTTTTTTTTATTCCTATTGTATTTATGGGTTTCGTGAATAATCAAATATTGTTTGTCTAACCAGAGGAAAAAAGAATAATTGAAAATTGTTTGATTATAATTTGAAAATCAGCAAGCATGTTTTTATTTTTGTTTCATTATTAGTATTGATTGGAAAATTGGCCGCCACCAACTCCCTCTTGCCCCTTTCACCCATCGAGCAGTGAATTTTTTTAGTATTATTTGGTATATATGCTGTTGTATCTGGTTTATATGTTTTTGGTTCTTGTGTTTGATTTGTAAGGATTGATTTAGTGTGTTTTTGGTTAATGATTATCACACATTTGCAATTATTTGTTTGGGTTAAATCTGTTGCCCAAAAGGGATTGTGTTTATAGGTTCAAGTGTGCGGTCGGGGCTCGAACCAAACTATGCGTTCCTTGCCCACCCATTGAGCTTATTTTTGGTTGCTAGATGTCCAACACTCCCTTCTTTTGATACTTGAAAATGAAACAGTAGGATTTGGATTGTTTAGATGTCTTTCTCTTTTTCTTTTCCTTTTGGTTTATAAAGAACAAAACAAAGTCTGCTTATCTGAAAACAAAATTATTTCACTGGGTGGCAGTAAGAATCAAGTGAAAGGTCATCTGTACGATGATTGAATGATCAATTCAGATCTTACTTAAAAGTGCTTATTTGTCCAAGAGATACTTTGTGTCATAACTGAGATTTATATTTTTAAGCTGTATACTTTGTTTTTAAGCTGTATACTTTGTTTTTATAAATTAAAAAAAAAAACTGAAAGGGGCGTATTTAAGATGTACAGAAACCATTATCCAAAGATAATGTGTCATGCCCTCTTTCGAATAACAGTGACAAATGTTTTTGCATTCTAATTTTCTCAAATTTTGATGTGTAAATTAATTATATAATAATTGAAAAATAGTCTCCAATAGATAGAAATGATTTCTCAATCATATCTTGCAACTTGAGTATCTGCAACTCTATAGCTGTGTCCTCTTCTTCAACTTCAACAGAAAAAATTGGTGTAGATTTTGTTTATAAGGTTGGACAGTTATAATTGCCAACTTTGTAGCAGCAAAGGCTTAGCTTGGATGTCTTTCGTCTTTTAACTCTGCCTATAATAGAGCAGGTTTTCACTTCGTTGTCGATCGAGGATAACTTATCCTCTTGATTATTAATACAAAAGTTTGTATTTTAAAAAAATATATATTAGCACCAAAAGCTAAGTAAAAATCAACCTTCTTGGCCACTTTCTGAAATGATGAGGTGATTCTTTACCACAGAGAATAACTTATAATTTTAATTCTAAGTTTGAACCATACTGCACCGATACTTCAAACTTTGGCCAGGGGAGGTATCAAATATAGGTACGGATACAATACGTCTTCAATACATGCCGGGAAATGAAGTATTGTTAACTTTTCTATTTTGCTGACCATGGGATACGGCGTCGATACAGAACTGATACTCACAGGACACTGTCCCAATACGGTCAAGATACGGCTAGTGGTTATTTAGAAATTGTTTGAAAATTTATGTGGTCTTTTTGAATATTATAAAATGGGGTCGAAATGTGAATTTTAAAACTTGGCCAGATCACACCCAGCCTATTCTTCTCAACAGAAAGAGGAAAACGCTAGGTTTTCACATTTGAAAAGAAACAGCGGCACCAACCAATTCAAAGATCCAGAAGGAAGAAGGAAGAAGAAAGAAGAAATAAATTTCAAAAGGACCTCTTCTTCTCCACTGAAAGTTCTGCTGCTGCATCTGCTCCACCAGGTCTTAACTCACGTTAACTTGTTGCTCCTTCACTTACTTTGTAGATGTATTAGAGTTAGTTTATTCATTATAACCAAATCCAAATCCTGTCCAGATGCTGCCGAGTAACAAGAAATTAAAACTCTTTTATGAAAGATATTTTCGAACGAGAAATGGGAAGTGTGGGGGATGTGGGCACTTCTAGTGCTAATGATGCTCATGATGTAGAGTTATAACCAATATTATAACCAATTTTGTATTTAAATTATTTAAATATATATTTACATTATTTTAATTGTCGTATCCTTGCCGTACTCGTATCCTAGTTTTTGGACATTTGTTGTATCACCATATCGTATCGTTATACTCGTACTTGTGTCCAGGCAATGAGGATTACAGTTAAGTAGCACTGACTAAAGATGGCTTAAGATAAATAAGTTTTTATTTTAGATAATAATGAACTCTGGCTAGATTCTCTTCTTAGAAAGGCTGAAATTTTTAAGATTTAATGGGATTCCTTAGTCTTGCCTTGATTTTCTGGTTCCTTGCTGAATATGGTTTTTATTTTGAACTCCCTTTTCGAGTGATCTTTTGTTGGGTCGGTAAGTTCCAATCTTACCAACGTGCGTTCATGTAGGACCTATGTAAAAAGTATTTGAAGACATTTCCATGAGAAATTAGTGTTCTGTTCTGTTTCTAATGCCCAACTGAATGGGAAGGAAATAATTTTTTATGTTATAATTTGTGTTTGTGGGCCATTACTAAGAACTAGTGTTTGAGTTGTATACACGTTCACATCACTGAGTTCAGACATGAACTCTTACATTTTCCCCTGTGGGACTCTAAATGGGATGCTGATTTTTCAATTGTGATAATGTATTTGTTGTTTATAATGTTTATAATCTAATTTTGTTATTTAGTTTTTATTAATCGAAGGCTGGTATATGATCTGCATATTCTGCTTATTATGCATTTGGTTGCCATGAAAACAAAACCCTAAAATAAATAAAAAAATTCTTATGTTGCTGAAAAACACTTAGAAAGTGGAAAATTTGTAGCTTCTGAAAAATATTATGTTTTGTGTTTGTTTTATTTTAAGTTTTATTGTGTGATTCTTTGGATGTTTGTGTTGAAATGTAGCAGAAAGTTTTTCAGGCTCTGAGAGAAATGACCTTAATGAGGGGAGAGCCACTAGTGACGAAGCTTGCAGTGTTGGCCAAGTACGTGGTTCTTCCTGGAGCCATGGTCGCCGCCCTCGTCTATTCACCTCCTGATTACAATTCTTCCAAGAACAATCCTAAGTCCACCAAATAAGACGTAGCTTGGTCAGTACCTTTTCCTCTTTGCTAACACTCTGGTTTCATATCTCTGTTGTGATTTGAATGACCTGGCAAGTGTATGTGAAATTTCCATTTAGTGCTTTTTGACTTTGCCTTTTAAAGCCTTCAATTATTATTTGTAGAATTCTGTGTAGGTACCAGTGCTATAGATATACCCACATATATGTTGCCCTGGATGTGGTTAAGGTATTATACATACTTAATTGTTTTCAAATACGTCTTATATCCATTGGATATAAGAAAACGAAATTATTATATACCTTTGCTTTTTGGCTGCTAAAAATGAGAGGCTTCCACGGTGGAGCTTGGAAGGAGTGTGGTTCTTTGGGAGTTTGAGGTTTATGAGAGAGATGAGTGTCGGTGTTATAGGGTGAGATGATGAGAGTGTGAGACCCACATTTATGCGAGTGAAAGAGAAGATTGGGTTAAGTGGTGTGTGGCTATTCATTAGGGGTATATGGTATTTCCATTTGCAACTTGCTCAAAAATTTTGATTTGCATAAAGGAAAAGGGTTCACACATCACCATGGGTGCTAAAAGTGGTCGGCTTTGTAAAAAACTTGATGAAATAAGAGAAATTAACTTTTGCTATATTTAAAACCATATTGTGCTTTCCCAGGATATGCTAGATTTTCATTCCCCTTGAATTTCAACAAGCAGACAGAATTTGTTATGAGATTGTGTGAAGTCGAAATATAGGTAGCTTGATTATGTGCTTTTGATTGAGTCTGCATGCTCTAAAGTATTATGTAAATCAACTCCAGAGTGCAGTCTCGTGATCTATAGTAGTTCTCCACTAAAATGTTAAAGTTCATGTCAAAATTTTGTTTTCTGTTGCTTATTCTTCTTTCATACCTCTCAGCTTTGATACCTCTTTTCTTATTTTCTTACACAGCTGGGATATTAGAGTGATTGTTTAAGAAAAACGAAAAATTGTGCCGGATAACTGATTGTAAATTTCCTTTTGTACAGGGACATACTGCATAGAAGTGGATGTTGGAGATGTGCTCTCCTCCCGTTCAAATTTCGTATGGAATAATCTGAGCCTAATAGTAGTTGCTCAAGTTGAGGGATTTTTCCTGCTTTCTTTGAAGGACTTTGAGATGAACTCTTTAAATGTACTTCCTTATTACCAGATTTCCTCTGTCAATCCCCTAATCGAATGACTCTCGATGAATAACTGTTAGGGATGAAATCTCATTGGATGACTAGTGCGGCGACTGATGATATGTTTTGTTAAAAACCCAGTAGCTCTCTGTTTCTTGTCACAAAACGTAAACCTTGATTAGGATTTAATTTGTTGAGGTTTTTTCTAATCAATGGGGGAGGGATTCGAAGGTTGAACATCTCCCAACATTTTAGAAGCGATATAGTTGGCTTTTAAGTGATTGGAATTAAAATGTGGGACTTGAGTTTCATATCGTGGTTCGAGTCCGGACCTATGGCGTATGTTTTCTGTGGTAATTTTACACCTTGTCCAAAACCAAGTAATTTCAACCCTCGTTTTCATTATAGTTTCAAGGAAAATTCTAAATGCTAATCCTAAATCATGAACACTTTTAACTATTGAGAAAACTTCTTGGCAGATATGGTTGCAACGTAATCGTTTAATTTTTCATCCAAAATCGCTCATGCCATCGGTACCATTACTTCCATCAAACAAATTACGTATGACTTTTGGAACATTCAGAATGTCCATCAAAATGGAAAAGACGCTGCTGGTTATGCTATTCGTAATTTTCATGGCATTATTACATTCAATTCCTCCTAATCCGTATCAGATTAGTAAGCCATTCCTATTGGTTTTTGTTCTGTATTGAGGCTGAAGAAGCACATGGTTTGAAATTTGGTCTTTCTTCTGGTAGTCATTCCGGTTTTGATAATCTAATTATTGAAGGGCTTATCCGATTTCTCAAGCAACGAAAGCCTCCGCCATGGCACATTTTATCTTTATTTCAGGTATCCAGAATCTTTGTCAAGATACTGAACCTGTGTCTGATTATCTTTCTTAGTCTTCAGATGTCTTGAGCCTCAATAAAAACGAACTTGTGTGATTTCCGCTTTCATTCCAAATCTCAGTAATATTTATTATGAAATGTCGAAAACCAAACTATTTCATGTATATAATAGCCAATCACAATGCGTGAATTTGAACACTAAATGAATTCACTTCTGCACAATACGTTTATAAAGAGGTTGCTCCATCCAGCTCCCCATGCACAAGATACAGCAAATGCACAACCCCTAACCACGAAGTGACGCCCGAGGAACAGCTGGTAAACCCAATTCGTCCTCAGCCTGCCAACAGTGAATTTTAAAGAAGAATTAGCACAAGGCAACAATGATGGGTGGCATGTGGCCAGTGGAGTAGGTACTCCCCTCCACCCGGTGCCGCCACCCAAGTAAATAAACAATCATTCCAATGACAAGAGGTGGAAGCTGAGGCTGAAGACTTGCCTTTTTCGTTCAACACACATTTTCTAATGAGATAGAAACAATGTTCAAAATTCAAAAGAAAAATTGGTATTTTAACCATAAGGCAAATGTGCATTTCAGCAAACAAATTCAATACACTTGTACCTGGGCATTGGATCTGCCCGCTGGAGCTGCTGCATGTCCTATGGGTGCTGAAGGCAAGTGGAGCTCTGCATCTAAATCAGATTCCTTATCAGGTTGGAGATAGGAGGGAACGCCATCGGCTTCGGTTTCCAAACCCATGTCTGCTTCTAGAGCATCCAGCTCTGCAGATTGAAATACAGTTGGGCAATTAAAAACAGAACAAGATTGCATCAGAACATGGAATCATATGCATTGATGCTTTATATGAGACCACAATAGGTCTTAATGCAGTACTATTGACAAGAAGTAAAGTCACTTAAAAGTTTGCGTGCAAGATGAACAAGACAGTTTCACCTAGCCTATATTCTAAATCCCTTATTTCAGAACCTACAATCTTGTCATGCAGACAAATCACAAATCAGCTTTTGACACTCTTTGCATGATTTACTTCACCCAAGCCTCTGGGTGAAATTAATCAGAAAGTTCTCTTCTCTGTATGGAACCTGTAGCCAGTATATCCTTCAATATTTAAGAATTCAATGATTTCTAAGCTTACCACCCATAAGATCCTCCTCATCAATGTCATCAGGAACATTATAGCTTCTACCAAGGGTCTCTTGAATTTCATTGCTTACATCCATCAGGTCCATCATTTCATCTTGCAAATTCTATGGCAAACGAGTATTCACATGTCAGTAAGAGATACTTTCAAATGTACAAAGCACGGAAGCAACGGGAAACAAAAAACAGAAGAGAGTACTGCTACTGACATCAATATCTTGAATCTTCACCGTTTTCATCATTCCTTTTAGCTCCTTGTTGGCAGATTTCAGAGCTGTCATCTGTGTAAAACATATCAAAGTTAATTTCCAAACAAAATCTACTCACTGCAGAAAATATGCCTCCATGGAATCTACATTTAGAAATCTAAATGGATACCAGGAATGAGTACAACAGAATCTAGGACTTATACCAATCACATATTTATAAGCAAAAACCCTCCCTATACACAAATGGTCCATCTCCTACCTCTCATGAGGTAGGCAGCAGGTTCCAATCAGGGTACAGAAAAAGCTCCTCCTCAACAGCCTTGAACTATGCCCCTTGGGGCGCTACCAAGGAAAACCAACAATTTTAAGGTGAATTTAGTATAGCCCCAGTTCAACCAAATTTGATGTAGCATAGAGTGACTCTCCAACATGTTGCAAATCAGTAACTACCTCATTAATTTGGGCATCTTACTTATCCTTTTTCCCCCCTTTTATGAGAGGAAAGAAGGCATCTTATCCATCTAAATACATGTCATTAAAAAAAAGAGAAAAGACTGGGTTCATACCCCCAACCCTCAAAGCTAAAGGTGTAATTTCACCAATAAAAAGATAAAAGTTCGTGGTACAATGTCATTTGTTATGCTGAGCTACGACATGCATTATCCTCCAATCCTCACATTTGACAATCAAAACAATCCAACACATGGACATGGTGAGACTAATAGATCCTTGTACGTATACCCTCAATAAAAAACATGTGAATATAATCACAAAATTTAACAGCTAAAGACATACCGTTTGCTGAGCATCTTTTATACCCTCTGAGGCAAAGGCCACTTGGTCAAGGTTAAATGTCTGATTATACAGCATGTCACGCTGTCCTTCATACCTGTGTCCAGAAACTTAATGAATTAAAACAAATCATTGAAGAAAAAAGGATAATGGAAATTGAGTCATACAGTATATTCACCATACCCCTTACAGTTTGCAACATGTACCGATCAAATTCTAGATGCCAAAGAGAATGATCCCAATATTAATGGCAAATAAATAAATAAAATGTGTTTGCATAAATGTAACCCTATCTCACTCGTTTCGATGTCCCAGTGACGACCTAAATTTTGAATTTCATGATGCAAAAGATTCTATTTTTCATTTGAGGCCAGACAATGCAAAAACTTAAACCTTATGCCTTCAATTAGCTACACCACGCTCTAGAAAATCTAAGTACATGCACATACTCATCTGTATGCATGCCTACTTAGTATTGCACTGGAGCATAACCTTCTAGCACTACTGTTCACACTTCAGTTGCCTATCATGTTTATGTGAATTTTTGTTCCAACAATATCATTCCAAGTCTTCAATCAACCACTTACGTCCAACACATAAGTATCCATTCTTAACCCTTCTGATGTCACAAAATTTTTTAACCATTCTTCCTATTTCCCCAGTCGTAACCTTCTTAAGTATCCATTCTTAACCCTTCTGATGTCACAAAAATATTTAACCATTCTTCCTATTTCCCCGGTCGTAACCTTCTTCAAAGATTTGAATCAAATACCAAGCTTTTCTGAAAAGTCCAAACAAACCAACTTCCAAATCCTGATAAAACTGCTGACTGATTTCACATGAATGAAACATGCAACAAAATAGGGAAACATAAATCACACAGAGGAGCAATAAACCATTAACATGAAGGGGGGCACTTACATTCGCTTTTGCTTGAGAACCCTCATGGCTCGAGACTTAACAGCTTCTTGTGCAGGACCAGGCCTTGTCTTCTTGATCTGCTCTTTGTATCTATTAAGTTCAATATCAAGCTTCTTGATCTTCTCATCCACTGTTTCGCCTCTTTTATTAATCTGTTACATAATAATGTTTACTTCACCCAACAGTTCTAGCAGAATACCAACAGAAATTGTAAAGCTGAAATATTCAAACACGAGTTGCTCGGAAACCAAGCATCAAATTAGTTACAACCATTATCGATTCTAAAGCTGGTCATAATGATCTGACTAAATCTTCACTCTTGATTATAGTAGGGTTTATCATTAACTGGCTCTCCCAACAGATATTGAATATGGGTTTGTAATAAGATGGATAATCCAGTTAGTTGGCAATACTTAAAATTGTTCATGACCCATTTTTGGCAATTATAAATTTTATTAATGTTTCCCATATTAGCAATCTAAACATATTATAGCAAGAAAAGAATACAAGTTGAAAAATCCAGGATTCTTCCCAAGTAACCTAAAGAACAATAAAAACCTGATTACCCCAACCCTAATTCTGAGATACCCAACAATAGCTTTAGGAAATAAACTAGAAGAGTAGAGAGAAAGAGAGAGGACCCTTTCGGAGGCGTCTCCAACAGACGGCGGAGGTTCTTTTTCTTTCTTGACACCGAAGACCCTCTTCATCTTCTCTCGTACTTCTCCTCCTTTGACCTAAGCTACGACCGATTCAACCAAGCTTTTTCTCCCAAAGCACTTGAACACAACACGGAGAGAGAGAGAGAGAGAGAGAGAGAGAGAGAGAGAGCAATACTTCAATGGTCTGCTTCAGCAAATCACCCCCTTTTGTAGTCAATGGGATATATCTGAAACCAAGGCAGAGCATTCAATCAGAAAATTGAATCTGGTTTCTCATTATATACAAAAAGAAATCCAAATCTACAAAAACCCAATCAGATTTCCATCAAACTTACCAGGAAAATGGGAATTTTCTACTCAAAGTTGATGAGAGGAAAATAAGAGGAGGACGATTGATGAGATCCGAGCTCGATCAGTTCAATATTCGCTTAGCCCTAACTAATTTTGGGAATTTTCTGAATATTGAAAATGCAAATTTGGGATTTTTCGAGGTGGGTTCGCTATTCCTTCCCAGCGGCTTCCTTTACTCTGCGTCTTGGACAGAAAGCTATCAAAACTCACCAACAGGAAAACAAAATGTATTTTTTAAAAGGAAAACCTTTTTTTTTTTTCTTTTTTTTTTTTGGGTGAAAGGAAAACGCCTTTCAATTGACCCAAAGGGTTAAATTATGATTTGGATTCTCTGTAGCATGGGTGAAGTTCCAATTTGTACACGGCAGTTTGGTTCGGATTAGAAGGGTTTTACACGGCTGATCCTTTTTCAGTCGAATTACAACAAAACAATAATTCGATAACATAATTCTTTTTTTTTCATTTTCATGAAATGTCATCAAAATTCAATGTGCTATCAAATTAATAGTTTTTATGCGGCAAATTAATAGTTATCACCTAAATTAATAACTTCGATCAAACATTATTATTAGCATCTTTATTTAGTTATTAGTCAATAAGAGACTTAGAGCATTCACAATGGGCTCCCTAAACCACCTCCTTAGACAAATTTTAGGGAAGAATCGTAAAAATGCAACTCCAACTACGCTCTCTATCCACCTCCTAAAATAGGGAGTCCTCTAGGAGCTCTTAAATCTAAGGAGAGAGAAAGGACTCCTAGTGGCTCCTTGTAATTTAATGCTGCTTTATTTAATGAATATTTCAAACCTTTATTTAATGCTAACTATTTTTTATTTTATTTTTTAATAGAGATAAACTAATCAAAAAAGAGTTATAGCATTTACGACTCTCCAAATTAGGGAGTATGGTTGAAGTTGAAATTTTTTAGAGAGCTCCTAAAATAGCTTTCTTATATTCTTAGCTAAATTTTAGCTAAGAAATAGAGAGCATCATTGTGGATGCTCTTACAAGTATAAAATAAAATAATATAAAAGTTTATACAATCAATATGTCCGGTTTAAATTGGCTTTGTAAATGACAAACAAAGAAAATCTTGTTGACGTGTAAAATAGATTATCAAAATAGGGAATGCCCAAGAACTCAAAACAATTTTTTGAGTTTTGTTTACGGAAGTTGCATGAAATCCTAAAAAAGCATTAAAAACTATGAACTACGCGATTAAAGTTACATAAAAGGACCTGAACTCTCACTTCTTTGTCTTGACCGACTCTTTGTTGACTTTGAGAGCGGAGGGCCGTGGGCCTTGGAGTTGAATGTGAGCATCTTTTGGGCCTCCAACATCTAAATGAGTGCTAATTTCTTGCAAGCGAGAGTCTTTTCCAACTTGAACCTTTACATCATTACTGATCTCTTGCATGCTAGAATCTAATTCTACTTGTTTGGTGGCTACGTCTACGCATGCGCTCTTCAGTTTTCTGGTGATCTCGCCAACAATTTTTCCAACAGACTTTCCTTGGTACCTATTAGTTAAAATTCAAAATTGAGCAAAAGTAAGATTTATTAGGCCACTGAACCACTATCTTATTCATTATGACTACAGAGCTTGGGATTGAATAAGATTTGAATGTATTAGTTCAACATTTATCCAAGATTTTGTTAACTTCTGAAAACACTAATAGAAATATATTTAAATATAAAAAAATCTGACCACACCACACGTGTGAAAGAAAGAGAGTGTGTCTATAAATTATCGTATCAGTGATCCTAAAGCTCTGCATTACACTGATAAAAACCAAAGATGATTTTGGCACTTAAATATTGTAAAAAGGAATCATTGAAACATTGCATGGTGGTGGTATGCAAAAAATAGGTCGGGAAAAAACATTAAGAAAAAGAAGAACAGAAGAAACAAAGAGATGGAAATAAGTAAGTAGTTACCCATCACACGCCTTAGAATCAAGGCAGGACAAATATGCAGCTTCAATTAGAGACTTTCTCCAAGACTGCGTCATTTCTTCCCAATCTTTAACTCCAAGGCCGGGCAAATTTGCAGCTTCAATTAGAGACTTTCTCCAAGACTGCATCATTTCTTCCCAATCTTTAACTCCATGGCAGCGCACTAGAAAACTATCGATTTGTTTCCCGACATCTTTAGGATCAACATGACAGAAAATTGGCAAAACCCTCTGCCCCAGTGTTCTTCTACACTCCATGATCTTCTCCAGCTCCACAAGACACCCTATGGAAAATGCATACTCCCTTGAGAAGATGATGACAGCGATTCTGGACTGTTCAATTGCTTTCATCGACTGTTCAATTGCTTTCATCAACTGTTCAATTGCTTTCTTCCGTTCTTCTGGTCCTCCTAGTTTATTCTCATCAGCAAGACGTCGACTCTGGCGTGTTTTAATCTCCAGTAGAGGTGGTCTGTGAAGGTCTTGCGTGTGTCTTCGCCGCAGCTCAAGAACACATCGTACAATATCTCATCATTTGAGGAGCAGGATGAAGAGGAATCGTACATCTCATCATTTGAGAAGCAGGATGAAGAGGATGGAGAGGAGGCTTCATCCACTATACTGGTATCCATTAATATTGGTTGGTTATTTTATCATTTTATATAATTTTTTTAGGAACTGGTTGGTTAGTAATAGTAGGTGGCTCCCACAATAGACACGTCAGTATTTAACGATTGACTACACGGTCAACTTAACGTAATCATAAAATTGGACGATGTTGCAAACATAAGGATGTAAATTGATAAAATTGATGCATTGAGGTCCATATTAAGAACTACCCAAATATGCAGTGTCTTTTGTCCTTAGCCCTTATTTCTATAACTAGGATTTGATTCAAGCCTTAACTTAAAAACATTCCTTATTTTCTGGTTGAGCTGATAACATGCATTTCACGTGTCACCATCTAGGACGTATATTGCGTCACGGTGGCACTACAGATGGACACCACATGTCCACATCAGCCCATTATTTCGGTTACCCGATTATATCTTTTATAGTATTTTTGGTCAACATGTGTTTAGTTTCGCGCGGAAGTCTTATGTTTACTATAGTTTTATCACTAAATGACAATCCAGCATTCAATAGCAACGAGGCACGCCGCACACACCACCATCCCACACCCTGCAAGTATAAGTATAACTAGAAATATGCCGCAGAGATTTTACCATGGCAATTGACACAGAGAGAGAGAGAGAGAGAGTGAAGTTGCTTCCATATCTGCTTTTTACTGAGCTCTGTAGAGACAGAATTTCCATTTTCTACTGACACTGACTCTTCTGGAAAGAAAATAAGAAAACAAAAACCGAAAGAGAAGTGAAAAGTCTTCTACCGTTGAACGCTTGAAAGAAACAGAAAAGCATTAAATAGCTCTCATTTCAGTTGGGGAGTAGTGTTCCTGGTTTTCATTGCACATCGCACATTCTTATTTATTGTACCCAACAACTTCTCTCCTGCCTCTCAAACCTCACCTCACCTAATCTTTTTCTCTCTCTCCTCTCTTTCTGAGGTAAAAAGTTAATAGAAAATTCAGCTTTGACATACAAGACTGCATCTTCGCGGACAATGTCATATTTCTTCAACAAGACATCATTTTCCGGGAAAATTTCCTGACTTTCTTCCGTTTTCCGTGGAAGTTCCCAGAAAGGATTAGTGGGTTTTGCTTAGAACTTGTTTTCCGACAATGGGTAATCGATTTATTTGCATGTCAAAGAAGGATACTAAAGATGTTGGATCCAGAAGCAAGAGAGTAAATCGCTCACAGAGGAAACTGCTGGCTGAGGAAGAGTTCTTGCACAGGCAAGCTCTGTCTATGGCACTTCATCAGCACCAATTGTCTCAGAGGTTTGACGGATCCATGTCTAGAAGAATTGGGTCCACAAGCTCTAGGAGACTCACTGATCCATTCGCTAATGGGAAGCAGGTGTGCTTTGTTTTGATTCAAAGTTGATTTCAAATCCATATTACTTTTTTCTTTGTCATGATTTGATCTCTGATGAAAAGGGGGTTTTAATGATTAAGTAGCCTTGGGTTAAAGCTAAAAAGTGCTTAATCAAATGTGAAATCAACAGTCACTAAATTACCAATTTAAAGAAAAGCTATGAATGAATATTAAAGAAGTGAAAAGGTAATGAACTATTCTACTTCTTTATTTTGATGGCTTGAAAAGTGCATCTCAAAAGGATGTACTCTTAGATGATTGTGCTGTCAAAGATCTGGCAATTATATTATTCTAACTCAGTCTTATGATCTCTCTAGTTGACCTTTTCTGTATCTAGAACAAAAAGTGTGTTTGGGAACACTTTTTCTTAAGAGTCATCCAACTTTATAACCCTTGATCAGCTCACTCCAGTTTGAGTGGTTGAGATGGGAGCTTTCTAGATATTTTATCAGGCAGTTGAGATCAGTGCTTTTATGGTATTTAACCATTATAAATGGCAGTGAGTGTGAAAAATGTGCTAAAGCCTGGAATGAAGTCTAAATAGTATTGAGATCTTTATATTATGTAGCTTGTTGGACCATTTGAGTCCGTTTTTGCCAATTACCATTGCAACCACCGTACTGTTAAACAGCGTTATGTTCCTTTTCAGGATACCCAGATTTTTCTATAAAAACAGAAAGCAGTTCATATTATATATCCAATATGTATATAACATGGATAAGGTTCATATTAAAGCCATCATTCTTGAAAGATTTAGCTGTTTATCAAGGGGCCCTCATTAAGCAAGATTGTGAAGGCATCTATTCATAAATTTTATGTCTTTTTCTGTATGATGTATTTTCAATTTTGTAGAAATGTGTACTCATTTAACCCTGTGTTGTTTGTATTTGAAATTCTTTATAACCTTGACCTTAACTGAGCTGGAAATATGTCATAACTGTAAGAGTATTGGTCTGTGGCTTTCAAAATCAACACCGGCTCATGTAATCCATTAAAGTACAGTATTTCTCTTCTAGGAAATGTTAATTAATAACATATTTTTGTACAACTCCCAATATCCATAAAACTTTCACCTTCCTGCTGCTCGTTTGTTTTGGTTGCTAGTCTGCTTTTTTTAGTAGCCAATAGATTCATATAGACAAGCAACTTTGAGCATAGTAATCAGTTACTAAGATATGGTCCTCCACCATTTCAAGTTTGTCCTCCCTTGAATGATTTCCATGATTATTGATTTCATTTTATTTTACAGGTACCAGAATCTTTGGAGAATATTCAAACAAAAAAATTTATTCTGGTACATGGAGAAGGGTTTGGAGCATGGTGTTGGTACAAAACAATTGCTCTACTAGAGGAAGCAGGATTGCTTCCAGTTACCTTTGATCTCAAGGGTTCTGGTATTGATCTTACAGATACTAACTCTGTTGCTACGCTGGCAGAATATTCAAAACCATTGATTGAATATCTAGAAAATCTTGAAGAGGATGAAAAGGTTAAAAGCTGAGATGTTATTCATTCCATTACACTAAGCATGTAACATACTGTCAAATTTATACATGTGATTCTCGTGCAGGTTATCTTGGTTGGTCACAGTAATGGAGGTGCCTGTGTTTCTTATGCACTAGAGCTCTTTTCGCAGAAAATTTCAAAAGCAATTTTCATCTGTGCTACTATGGTGTCTGATGGCCAGAGACCGTTTGATGTGTTCGCTGAAGAGGTAATTTATTATAAACTGGTTAAGGCTAACATCTGTTAAGAATTTGTTGGTCTTGTCTGAAAGTTATGACCATGCAGCATAATGCCACTGAGTACTTCTAAACAACAGAAAATGCTTCTCCTTTTCAAAAAATTCCAAGCTATTGCAACTATTTCATCACACCATAGGCATTGAATACAATGTCATTGAAAAATATTACTTTCATCCGTGCAAAACTATCTGTGTAAAAAATTTAAATAAACCTCCAAGCTTCTAGTGAATCCATTATGGGTGTGTGCATGCATCTGTGGGTGGGTGTCTGTGCGCATAAATACATATATGGTAATGTTCACTTGGTAGGCAGTGCTGTCAGACTGTCAATCAGACCCATATCCTACAGAATCATACGTATGAATATGCAGTCATGATAGACAGTTTGTCTCATGTTGTAGCATGATGGAATGTCTCACAGTTTGTCTCATGTAATACATATATGGTAATGTTCACCTGGTAGGCAGGCAGTTTAACACCTTATGCTGTCAGACTGTCAATCAGACCCATATCATACAGAATCATACGTATGAATACGCAGTCATGATAGACAGTTTGTCTCACGTTGTAGCATGCTGGACTGTCTTGCAATATATAAATTGGGAATGCTACCCTCCACACCTTTCTTGTAGAAAAATTATCTCTATGTTCTTACAATTAATGAAGGTTCTTATAGTAACTTAAAAGAAAACTATATTTCCTTTTTCAAGCAAGCCATTTTCTTCCCCTTGGCAGTTTAATTTTTTTATACCCTCTGATTTTCGTGTTCTCAAGAAGGAAATCTGTATTGCAGCTTGGTTCTGCAGAACAATTTATGCAAGGGTCAAAGTTTTTGATTCATGGGAATGGAAAAGACAAGCCTCCTACAGGATTCATGTTTGAGAAAGAGCAGATGAAAGGGTTATATTTCAATCAATCTCCTGCAAAGGTATGTTGCAACTCTCAACTAAAGCAGATAATTTTGTCCAAGTTTTTCAAGGTTAATATTATCTTAGTATTTTTTCCTCACAGGAAGCAGCATTTTTGTAGAAGTTATGCAGTTCCTTTATAATACTATGTGTAGCTGAATATTATATGTGCCCATTAAATTATTTGAAACAAAATGCAGAGCTAAATAAATATAATGGAAAGTAAGATGAGAACATGCAAATAGAAGTGAGAATGCAAGTGTAGTGTTTTTACATTTATACAAGTCCACGATGCCTCCATTGTGTCCAGATATGTTTAACATGTTTAACCGCTTTCTTTTTGTAGTTTGATCAATCAAAATCATGGAAATCTGTATTGTGTCCTTAACTTGTTTTATTGGTAGTTGGTACTTACCTGTATCAACACAGCGGGCATGTGTAATCTTCATGAAACAAATATTTAATATTCCTTTGACTTAGTTTTTGCATTAAAAATTTGAGAGCGAGAACCATCCCATTGAAGAAAGACTTATATACAGGTAGGACAGGCATGTAATATTGTGTTCTTGTAAATAGTGCTCTACAGACTTTAGTCAGTACATTTTAGATTCTACCGTAGGTCATTGTATTGTTTGCTGACCTGGCATCTCTCAGTTGACTTGCATAGCCTTGTATTTAAGCAACAAGATTGTACTGATTATCTAATCATAACGACAGAATCAATTTCAATCATTCTGTTTCTCTTTAATAAGTAGAACCATGTGAAGGGTTCATAAATTAATAGCATATCTTCACTGTCTCATATCTGTTTCCAGATCAGCATCTATGATGCCTCACAGATGTACCTAGTCAATTTTGAAAGCTGAGTCCTAAATAGTTAAGATTTGTTGCTTACTATCCGAACTATTTTGTTGCCATTATTTTCTGATTCACCTTCCCAGCATTTTATATCCACTTTCCATCAAGGGCTTGGGTGTGAAATTTTATTTTAAAACACACACACACACCCACATTTTATATTTCCAGATCAACATATATTATTCCTCAAAGATGTATGTAGTCACTTTTGAAAGCTGAGTCCTACTTAATTAAAATTTGTCATTTACTATCCATCCTATTATGTTGCCCTTATTATCTGATTCACCTCCCCATCATATTTAAGACAGAAACATGCACAGGCGCATGCACACATCATATTTTCAGATTCAGCTTGATATTCACATATTCTTATTTTCAGATTCAGCTAGATATTCCTTATTTAAAGAGTTCAACTGTAACCCTTAAAAATTTGTTAACTAACAAAACAAACATAATATTTTCGTTTCTAACTCTCTTCTACTTTTGTAAACTTTATTTTCTTGTTCCATTGAGTCTTTTGTTTCTGAGAACAATATATGATGGTCAGTCTCCTTTAGTGTTACACCATAAAATCTAAGTTGTGTGGTCTTCCTGGGTTTCTTCACCATGGTATAATCTATTGAGATACTTCGGTTTCTTGTCATCTATTCTTAATTTGATTTAACTTCCATTCACATTATCTCTATAACGGCAGTTAATTCATTCCAGGATGTTGCTCTGGCCATGGTTTCCATGAGACCTATCCCACTAGGCCCGATCATGGAAAAACTGTCATTGTCACCCAAAAACTATGGAACTAGCCGGCGGTTCTTCATTCAAACATTAGATGATCGGGCACTTTCCCCAGATGTCCAAGAAAAGCTAGTGAGGGAAAACCCACCAGAGGGAGTGTTCAAGATAAAAGGCAGTGACCACTGCCCATTCTTCTCAAAGCCACAGTCACTGCACAAAATGTTGGTGGAAATTGCTCAGATTCCATAGCTTTAAATATCAGAAATTGTATTCCTTTGTTTTACGTTTGAGTTACATAACGAAAACGTAGCTGATTGCTTAGTTCTATGATGTTCGGCCATGGTTGTATGTAGAACAAGGTGGCCCAATTGCTTGTATCCAATTTCTACTTAGTATATAGGTAAAGGAAATGCTGATTTACACTATACAAAAGCAATCTCATCTAGTCATGCTCGTGTTTTGTTGCGGATAAAGCTCAAGAAGCCTGAATTTACAACAGTGGTCCTTGTCCTTGCATTGTATGCTTCATATATGTTGTCAGCCTATTCTTTAATAGCTCAAGTTTTTGAGGTTAGTAGTCGTCTAACATAGTATTAAAGCCTTCTTTGCAAGTGGTCCAATGTAAAGCTTTTGGAGCTAGTGGTTGTTTAACAGATCTGATGGTATTAAAGCCTTCTTTGCAAGTGGTCCAATGTAAAGCTCCAAAGCCTTCTTTGCAAGTGGTCCAATGTAAAGCTTTTGGAGCTAGTGGTTGTTTAACAGATCTGATGGTATTAAAGCCTTCTTTGCAAGTGGTCCAATGTAAAGCTCCAAAGCCTTCTTTGCAAGTGGTCCAATGTAAAGCTTTTGGAGCTAGTGGTTGTTTAACAGTTCTCATCAGATCGGCAATGACCCACCTAACACACTAAATTTTATGCGTATTAATGGTTAATTTGTTAGTACACTTTTTATGACTGTTAATACATGTTTTATGATTGCTAATACATTATTATGACTATTAATACATTTGTGTATGAATGTTAATCCACTTTTGTATTGGACATATATTCCACTTTCAATAACAAAATGATCATGCATAAAATCGAAGTGGAACAACAACCCTCTGAAAAAATACACAGGAAGGGAAAACCACCACCTCTTTCATCCCTCCTGGAATATTGGGATTGCCTGCAGCAGTCCCAACAAAGAGCCACTAGGGCTTTTTCATCAATTTCTTATTATTCCCATGATCGGATCTCATCAAGATCGTGCTGATCATCATCATCTGACTTCCTTATTCCTCATCATCCTGGCTAGCTAATCTTTTAAAGAGGCCGAGATAAGCTTGTACAAACTCGATGATCTCTATTCTCTGAATTGATCACAGTAGCATTTGCTTTGCCGCTAGCTTACCTATGCTTTTGCCTTTACAACGGAGTCAGTATCAGTCAGTCTAGCTCAATTCTATGCGAGGAGCTCCATCCACCATTTTTAGAGCTTTCAGCCAAGAGTTTTTGAGAAAATTTGGTGGCAGTTTTCCATTCATGTGATGAGCGAGAGTCGTGGGGTTATAGAACTGATTTTACCAAATAATCAGTACGTGAACAAATTAATACATTGCACTGTTCACAATCAGTAAAGAAAATTAGGCTAAAATTACAAAATAACCATTGTACATAATTTATCTTTACCAAAATGTTCCTTGGTTTATGTTACATTGTTCACAATCACCGGTCGGTAGATAGACGTGAAGGTTCTTATACATCACAACATTCAGGACTTGGGAGTATTTTCCCCTGAAGAAATACTTTACTAGTTAAACTATACATGTGACTTAACGATAAAGTCATGCAATGAAGATAAAAGTCAAACCATCTCTCAAGACTTTTGTCCTCTTGTCCCTAGGGCTCGTAACTCAGCACTCCAAATGAGCATGCTGCTATCCGTCCATCCGGCACAAATTGGATCATACCATAAGAAAATTAGGTCTACAAAGTGAGGGGCCAAAAAAATGAAAAGAAAAGATCATGTGAGATTGCAACCCATGATTAGGAACCATTTCAAAATAGTAACACACGGACATACCCTAATTTGGCCCAACCAAAAGTTCTCCTTTAAGGTAAGCCCTCATTTCCACGATGTCTTCAGTAGAGGCCTTAAGCCACGATAACAGAGATGATTGCCTTGGGACATATGAGGAATTTAGTGTTCTGACTGAATGAAAGAATCTGTTTTCAACAGGGCAGCAAACTATTATAATCCACCAAATCTTTTTCAGAGACAATTGGGACAAGGTCGTTCATCGCAGATAAGATACAACAGCTGTCAAGATGCAGGCTATACACCCAAAATGCACAAAGACATGCTTTTGCAGACCAAACCATTAAACCACAAATAAACTTACATTAAACAAAATAAAACTCCTCTTCTCCTTCAATGCACAACAGCTATCGACTGCAGTAATACTCGTAATTGTAAAAGCCCCCCAACCATCATCAACCCTTAAAGAAAGTAATAATATATTTACTAGAAACTGCCAAAGTGGCACAATCCATGCATGCAAACTGCAACAGACCTTTAGTAGTTAAAAGAATATCTAAACACCAAGGGAGTGAAGAAAAACGCTAGACCAGTGATATAGCCATCACCAGTATAAAATATGTTAAATAACTCGCCTTCTAGATCTTGTTCTTTGATGTAACCGACGGCAATAGACTAAACTAGCAAATATTAAAACACTTAGAAACACACAAGAATTATACTGGTTCGGCAGAACTTTTGCCTACGTCCAGTTGTGATTTCTCTAGGTAGAGAAATCACCGCTCCTTTGATTAATAATAGAGATTACAGAACTTTTGCAACCCTAGAACTAATCTCAAAACTCTTGGCTGTCTCTGGCTGTTTTTCCTCTCCTTAAAATAAGCCTTGCCACACCCTATTTATAGATATAGAGTTGGCTTACATGTCCCAAGGCTGATTGGATTCCTATTCCTAAGTAGATTAGGAAATTACACTTATCCAAATCCTAATAGACTTCTAGAAATCCAAACCTGAATTGAATAAGGAAAACTGAAATTCTTTCCTAATCCTTCTAGGACAAGAATTGGTATACCTCTAATTTTCCTAAAACAATCCTAAACCAACTAGGACATATTTGACGAGCCAAAATCCTAACAAAATAGACTGCCCCCTATACGGTGCCATAATTTCCTTTTCACTTGCAGCCACACAAATAATTCAGTACAAGGCACATTTTAGTGGTTCCTTCCCGCTAAAATTCAGAAGGCTATCAGAAACCATCCCCATGGAAATCCTAAGAATTATAAACATAAAATTCCCCAATCTGTCACCTTACTTCCACTCTGCCATGTATTTCAGAAATTATATGTCCCTACCATGTGCCTCCATGACCACCACAACCGTGTCCTCATAAAACATTTGAGTGCAATAACATCACTGAAAACCTGATGTAGATTGTCAATTTGTCAAACTTAAAAATATTTAGCTTTGAGTCCACTCCAATGGAAAGACTACAGGGAATATTCCCTAAAATAAGATAGAAGATATGCTCTCAGATATGCGAAGCAATATAAAACTTCTTTGAAGACTGAAAATGCCTAGGAGATGCAAGGAGTTTAGTTCTAATATGTGAAGTTCTCAGTCCATCACTCGAGGAAACGTAAACTACAAAGGCTAAACACAAAAGCAATTTATGTTACTATTACCCAATTTCTTTTCCTTTCCCTAGACAGTAGGAATAGTTCCAAGGTCATGTGCTCCATGATGATTACATATTAACATACTCAGGCAAGACAGTAGGCCTATATTGAGTTGCTACAATAGAAAGTTGAATCAATGATATCAACATTGATGAGGACATCTTTGTCCAACCCATTAGGGTTTACAAATGAAAAAGATGGAAGAGGAAATTATTTAATTCGGTCTTCAAATCCGGCAATTTTGGAGCAATGGATGATTTCGGCATTTTTAACTTGTTTTCTAAGTTTTCTATACTTAAGTTCTTACCACTGAAAGAGTAAATTAGTCCGGTACGCTCGCTACACAAGAAAATCAATAAGTTAAGCAAGGGTATGATGATTGTCCGGAAAGCCAATAATATAGGAGTGTTAACAGGACTCCCTTTGAAGGATTCAGGATTTCTTGTTTGACTAGGATTTGGTTTACTTATTTAATACGATTTAGATTTGATTACCCTTTTTATTTGGATTAGGATTTCTTTCCTAGAATAAGTTTAATTTTTCCTTTTCACTCTAGGGTTAGATTGTTATAAATACCCTTCTATGTAATTCAATATAGAGTTGAGTTGTTGAGATATGGAGAAAAGTTTATTTTCCAGAGATTGGAGACTCCTTGGTGTGAAGCCAAGGCACCTTTTACCATCTACTTTCTGTTTTGTCATTGTTTTTGCTTCTGCTAAATTACCTAAATACTCAATTCACCCATATCCTACATAAAATATGAATTTGATTGATCATTAATCGTGGGCGTTTGAGTTGTAGAACCCGTCTGAGACATGAAACAAATAGCAGAAAAGTCTAGTGCAGTTTCTTTTGTCTACAAGTGTAGAAAAAGTTAAGGCAAGAAAAAGGAGGAGGCAAAACATGCAAGTAAATGAGGACATACCAGCCTTGGTTATTCTAAGAACCTGAAGACGATTTTTGAACCCACACTTGTTTCTGCTAGCAAACAGTGAAAGATTGTCAACCACTTTCTGATAAAATGAAGGTGAAATAAAAATAATGTGGCAACCTACATGACAAGTGATGCATACCTCAGGGGCACCATGAACAGTAGCACCTCTTTTAGATGGCTTTCCCTCACTTACATTTATAGAACCATCATCTTTTATATTATGGGCACTTCCACGGCGACCAAAATGTCTTTGTGAACCTAGACAAAGCAAAAAAGTTTTTACAGGACTGGTAATCAATAAAATCACATGTTATTTCAAAGATATAAATATATAAATAAATTACATCAGATAAATTCAGGGTGGCTAGTGTCACGCTTTGATTATCTAACTAACCATTCTCTACATGAGAACTATTACGTCCACTTGTAGGATTTATAACTTCCCCAGTCCTGCTTCCATAAGAGGTATCATCCTTCACTTCTCCATGGGAAACTGGAAAATCATAAACAGTGAGTGTATAACATTTCCTTGATGACAACTACACAAAATTCCACCCTATGACTAGGCTTAAGATTTGAAAAGAGGATGATTTAACACCAAAAATCATGTTCCAAAAATAGATCATCCATAGACTGACAAACACCTGAATATCCATGTATAGCAACAGCCTTTACCTTCAAAGGAATCAGAGAGCAGTTGAGGACGTTGTGGCATGGATGACAAATGCTCATCACTAGCATGTGAACTATCAGCACGACGAAGAGGAGCCCAAACACCACGATCAGGTCTATCCTTGTTTCTTGTATGTTTTTCTTGCTTCTCACTAACATTAGTGGTACCATGCAGGTCCTTCTTTGAAAATT